CACTCTTTCATGATAAGAATCAAGCTACCCTAACAAGATATATTAGGTAACAGGATAAACAAATCATATCTTATTAGTTCAAACAATTGACTACAAAATGATGAGATAGTTATCTTATCATAACTTGATCACTAAATGATCCAAAATTTACAACTTTTTTGTAGTGTGCACACACACATATTATTTTAACTTAAAATATTAATTTATTTATATTATAATTTTGAAATAATAAATACTTAAAAATGTTACTTCACCGTTTGATTTTTTTTATATATATCTTTTAATTAAAGTTAACGCCTATAATAAATTTATTTCATTAAATGTTTTAAATTACCATTAAAAAGATTTGACTTTAGAATTGTCAGGCTCAAAGGCCAAAGCCCAAATATCTCAATTCAGTCTCCTCTCACCCTTGCTCCATTCCCCTTCTTTGTTCACTCTCTTTCTTTCCTTTCCCTTCGTTGCATCGCCCTGTCTGAGTATGTAATCGAAGATCGAGGTTGATGTTAGATGACTTTCGATTTTCTAGTTTGAGACCCTTTTCATTTTACAGGTTTGCATGTGCGATTTTAGGTTAAATTTTTTATTCCCAAATTTATTCATGATTTTTACTTTATAAATTTTCAATTTAAGGCTTTGTATTGTGATTTTTTACTTCAATAGTTTTTAAGATTGTCCAAATTACTTTTTCTTTTCAAGGATCACGTATATTTTTTTAAGAAATAATTTTATTCAAACGAAAAAGATTTACATCATAATAAGATTAACCTTTTCAATTAAAGTTTCTTTATATAAAATTATTTGTTAAAAGTTTTAGTTAAGAAGATTATATAGAAATGTTTATTAATAAAGTAAAAATAATTTTAAATATATATTTTATCACACTAATTTGTCAAAAGGAAATAGAATAAAAAAATATTAATTTCTTATTTAGCTTAAAAGTGTAGAGGGAAGAAAATGAAAAATGAAAAGGATAAAATTTCTCCTCCAATATTAGGAAATTTTGACAACACTTAGATCAAGATTTTTAACTTTTTATCATCAAGTTTCTCAAATATGAAATTACGGTATGTCTAATTCAATGGAATGGAGGGGAGGGGAGGGTAAAAGATGATAGAGATTTGAAATTCTGTTTTGGCTTTGGGAAGAGATTTTAATGGAAAGAAAAAACGTTTTCTTGTTTGATTCCCAGGTTTACAAGAAAATGAGAGGAATTTTAAAAATCAATTTGTAATACCCTTAAAATTTTGAATTAAAAATATAAATAAAGATATTTTAGACAAGAAATATTTTAAAATTTCTTTCCTCTCTTTCCTATATTAAAAGGAGCTAAAATTAGATGAATAGGAGTTTTTTCCTCTCCATTTTCCTTCCCTCCTTTTTTAAAAATTGAATCAAATAAGAAAAGTTTATAAAAATCTCTTCCTCCCTTATACTCCTGTCCATTTTCCTCTAACCAACTACTAACCTTCTGCTGTAATAGAAATGAAAAAATTGGGAGGACAAATAATAGAGAAAGGATGGGAAAATTTTAAACCTAGGGAAATAATGCAGAGAGATAGAGATTTTAAAATGGGTGAAATCTAACAAGTCAAGCTATTTAACCAGCAAAAACAGGTAGAGTTAGGTTAAAACCAAAATTTTGCCATAGTTTTAAAACATCATTAACTTTTCATCATTTAATTTAAAATTTTGATTACAAAGAACTGAAAGTAAGTTTTATCATCCCTTCTCTTTCTTCCATTAAATCAAGAAGTAGATACTATAAGATGTACATCTTTGCTGCACTCCTTGATTCTAGGGAAGAAATAAGGAAAGCAGAATTCCCTAATAGTAAAAGCAAGAAGAAAATTGAGGGAGAGGACTTAAACCCATCATTTTCCCTCCCATTTCCTCCCCTCATCAAATAGTATTTATCCATGTAACACAACCAACAGTTTTGAATATGATGTTCCCTCCCAATGCAAACTGCTATTATTCACTGAGATCACTTAGGTAGTTTGTTGAGTTGTACTCATGAGGATATTGTTACTCCTCTGAGTATGTTCCAACACAAAGTCATCACCTCTTAGCAGTATTGCAATCTGCAGCCAACAGAGAAAATGTGATCAATCTTCTCCTAAAAGGTGAAGCTTCTACAACAAAGTCATCATAATAGAAAAAGTCTCAAACTGTAATCCCCCTATGTTATTTAACCAAAGTTAACTAGTTACAATAGTTAACAATATCTTAGGATGTGTTTGAATCCAAGGTAGAAATGTTTTTTAAAGTTCCTCTATTGAAAAAAGTTCTTCATTTTTAATAGAGACTCTTAAAAACACTTATAAGTTTATATCCAAACAAATTCATAGTTTATTTTCATTTAAAAGATTACAATAATGCAACATCATAGATTGCACACTTGCCTGACTCATGGTGGGGCGTAAGATACGAAACTGTTCAACACAGAGAGATGCAGTCAAAACAACACGATCCATATGTTCCCGGTCATAATCATCACCAAGAGAAGGATCAACAAGCTCCCTGATGTTATTAGCTTCAAATAAAGGCTTTGCCTACAACACAAGAAATCACAGTGTGCTGAGGCCTCTAAGGTAGTAATTTAGGACAATATATGACTACCAGCATTTAGGACAATGACTTACCCATAACACAATACTTTGTTGCAAGTGATCCAATGCACGACGCCCAGATATAATCTCCAAAAGCAGGACCCCAAAGGAGTAAATATCAGTTTTCTCGTCTACTACGCCATGCATCAAATATTCAGGAGCAAAATACCTGTCAATTAAATAATAAGTGGTAATGACAATTCTCAAACCATAGTCTTAGTTGTTTATTATATGTATATGTTTACTTACCCCATTGTGCCTTCAAATTTCAATACATTATGGTGAGTACACTGTTCTGGTAACCATTTTGCTAGCCCAAAATCACAAATCTGGAGAAATTCTCAATTAGTCATAGTGATAAACCAGATAAAATATAGGCATCGAACTTATACAGCGATACTCTATCAGCAGGGGATCCAGAAGCAAAGCTTTAAAATCCACATCACAATTAGTAAGTACCTGTGGCTCAAAATTCTCTGTAAGCAGAATATTCTCTGCTTTAAGGTCTCTATGAATGATTCGCCTTTGGCAAATCTCATGAAGATAGAGGAGGCCATCCGCTATTCCTAAAGCAATTTTATACCTTTTACTCCAATTTAATATATTTTTATTTGGACCTGAATATTTCATGAAAGAGAAAGAGCATGTTTGTGACAGATTAATTTTAGAGATTTCAGCTGGTTTTTTGACTAAAAAATTTGTTTACAAAATAAGAAGTAATCAATACATAAATACATTTAAACAGAAAGGTTTCACATAGGAGAACAGTACAAAACATAAAACCAAGTGCACACCATGAAGAAGAGACCCTAAATTTCCCAGTGGAGATAGTTGGAAGACCAGGTGCATTCCTCCTTCTACACCACATCCAATAAGATTGGCTGTGTTAGGATGATCAACATGAGCAAGAATACCTAACTCAGATAGAAAACTTGAGGTCCTGTCTTCTGGAGTGCCTTTGTTCAGTTGCTTAACTGCTATTAGTTGCCCATCTTGGAGGCTACCCTTGAAAACATCAGCATAGCCACCTCTTCCAATAAAATTTTCTACAAGAAAAAGGCACAGTAAATTCTACAGAGTGAAATTGATGTCATTTTTCAGAAAAAAGAAATGGCATATCCACTCAAAGGAAATACTTTCAAATCAATCAAAGTATATAACAACAACCAAGCTTTTTTCACTAGGTGAGGTTGGCAAAATGGATTAAATGATGGCATAATCTTCTGATATATCTATAAACAAATTATTGACTTCCAAATACTTCCTAAAGGTTTCGCCTATAGTTTTTCTCTTCCTACAGCAATTGGATTACCCTATGGGGGCCTTTCTTAGAAAACAGAACATAAAAACAGTGGACTTTGGTACTGGACAGTCTTGGTGGACGGTCTTAAATAAAAAAGGTTCTGAAAGAAACTGATAAACTCAAATGTATAAAGGGAAGCAAAACTAATGATATATTTGGATTTTAAAGTCATTTTTACACACATTAAAAGTGTTACAAATACTTCAATACAAAAACTAACTAATCTATGATTGAGTAAAGTAAAAAGCAACTTATGTTTAAACTAACAAGTAAATATCATTTGTATGTATAACTTACTTTTTCTGACATAAACAATCCTTAACAAAACTTATAAGTAAAATAGAAAATTGTGTAGACTTAAAAATATTTAATTATAATAATGGAAAAATCTCATCTTCCGATGGCTTCTATAAGTCTTTTCCATATATGCCTAAACCACCTAAAGTAAGTTCTATCATCCTTTTTACAACAAGTGTTATCCTAATTGTCGTCTAGTGCATTCATTTCTTTCTAAACGTATCTTGTCTAGTATATCCACTGATGCGACATTATAATACATTATCCATATTTTTTATTTGCAGAAAAGATTACAACAACGACAAAGAAAATTAAAGTTAAGTCTTCATACATCTATCTAAATCTTTTGTCACTAAATGTGCGTTTGGTAACACGTCCAAAACATGAATACAAGCGAAAATCACGTTTAAAACATAAAAATTATAATTAATAATTTCTATTTTAACGTGATAAAACACGTTTTTTTTTCATTTATTGATACTATATTATCCGCGGCGTTAGAAGCCCAAGGCCCCGAACACATGTCAATTTGGAAGCAAATAATACTTGCTTCTACGCAACTGTCACAATTTTGACATAAATTTACTTGCAGATGTGGATCTGATATGTTAAACCAAACACAAACTACTATTAACTAATTATAATTCTATCTTGATTGGTATGTCCTCAACTCTTAATCCTAATCAAACTACATTATTATTAACTAGGATACTAAAAACACAATTGGTGTGAAAACCAGGGCTAGACTACAAACCATTGCTAAAATTGTTGGTGGCAATTCTCAGGTCAGAGAGGCTGAAATCCACCAAAGCTCTGGAATTGTATAGAACAGGGTTTCCTCCAATGGTTTTGCTTTTAGATTTTGTTATGTTTGGCACACAACTTGGTGGAAAAGATGGTAGGTTCTTAATTGGTCTTATTTTCCATATTTTAGAAAGCTTGCTCCGGTGAAATCGTGTTCTTAAGCTTGGACAATTAACAGCCACTTCAGGTGGTTGATCAGAGTTGTCAGTGTCTATAATGCAGTCCTCTAGAAGTTCTCTTAGAGTTATGACCTTTTCCTCTTTCTCCAAATCGACTTGTCCTGAGTCTGGAAGACCAAAATAAGAATGAAAATTATCAACAAAGGGATTATTGGGGACAGACTTAAACCACAAGAAAAGTCTAATTGAAGGAACCTTGTGCAGAAAATGAAATGTCTCCTTTTTTGTGCCTGTCATCAAAACCATGGTCAATTGGGACCATCTTTGATCTGTTTGCAGAACTCACTTTACTGTGTCCCTGCATGACACATGTAACCACAAGCATTAGCACTAGCAATATGAATGAGAAAAAGAGACACAAACATACAGAGAGAGTGAATCAATAAGAAAGACATAAACAGGAACCAGAAGCAGAAGCAGTCAATGACTTTGGTAAGCATAAAAGTTAAAAAAATAAAAAATGACTGTTTTACTGAATTTCGGCGTGAACTTGTAGAAAACAGGAATTTGAGGCATTGATAATTAGCAAACCTGCTCTCATTTGACATAGAACCATAAAAAAAATCTGACACCGGTTTTAATAATCAATAAATAATAAGTCAATAACAGTTTATTTGGTACACAGAAAAACACAGAATGAGATTCCTGATTCCCACATTGCTGGTCACTGGCGATGTAACTAAGAAAACAATCAGCATTCAGCAGCCAGTGAAAGCTGATTGTGAAAAACTGGACACGTATGGAAATCACGAAACATGAAACATTTTTGCACATACATAGATGCTTTAAACGCACGCAAAAGATTAAATTTCAGTCACCATAACACAGATATCTACATTTGGGTGAAAATCGAAAAAGAACATACCTAGAGGATAAACGCTAACAAGCAAGCATGGGATAACAACAATAATCTTTAAGGGTGACAGAACCAAAGCATGGCAATTGATGCCCCCAAATTATTATTATTATTATTATTAACTACTTCTTTTTAAGTAATTATACTGTTTTGGTACCGAGTGTTGTTGTTCAGTTACAAAGTGGAAAGTTTTAATGGCGGAAAGGCCAGAAAGTAATTGGGGAACAAGTTGTGATTGATAGTTCACACGTCACACACTCACACCCGTGTTTGTCGCTCTGTGTGTCTCTTAGTACTGTAGTTTATTATATATGTAATAAGGTCAACGCCCAACGTGTGCTAAAGCCTCTCTCTCTCTACAACTAGTTTTAGTTTGAGGCTTAACTTTAACTCTCCACACAGAGTGTGACATGGGACTTTGGGACGTAACGTTTTACATATAAAGAGGAGAGAGACAGGGTGTGGCTGTGGGGTTTAATTTTAAGAAATTTAATTAATAATTAATTAATGCTATTGTCGTATCTTTTTAGTGAAGTTACACTCATAATTTGGAGGACTTATTAATTTAGTATATGTCACATGCCTTGTTTGTATGAATTTAGGCAATTTTTTTTATTTATTTAATTAGTTTAATTTAGTAATATTATTTTTAAAAATAATATTACTTCGATCCTAATTATAAGTAATATATGATAAATCATGAAAATAAAAAAAATAATTAATATAATTACTTTTAATTAACTTTATCATAAATTAAAGTTTTATTTTAAATATATTTTTTACTTTAAGTGATTGTTATATTCAATTTTAACTATAAGTAAATACATAAGAAATAAAATAAATAATAAATGATGGATATAAAAGAAGTTTAACTCTGAGTAGTTTTTAAAATTAATGATTATTATTTACAATTAGGATCAAAGAAAAATTCAATTTGTTACTTATAATTAGTATTGGAGGTGGTAACAATGAATTTTTTTCGTCCAATTGAAATTAACAATCATTAGATATATGTATGAAAATTTCAGTAATTTTTTTTATTTGAATAAAGAGTCTCCCACCAAATTTTAATAAAAAAAACTTCATAAACTCAAAGTAAAGTTTTTTTTCTCTTCAACCACCATTGTAGCAACCTTCTAAACTCTAAATTTCAAATTTTCAATGACATCCTTTCAATCTCAGCGGCTCTCAAAACCTTAACATGCAAATTAACAACATTCATTTTTCTCCTTCTTCAAGCTTCAAGATGTTATCTTTCAAAAATTAGAGACCCTTGAAAAGTAAAAAGTTTAAATGTAAAAATAGTTTTTACCCTAAAACTTAACTTAATCTTAAAATAATTGATATTTTTAATTAAAAAATTTCATGCGAGTAAAATTAATGATGATTTGAGTGTTGAGATGATTTATTTTGACAACAAAATTTAATAGTATTTGAAATAAGATTAAAAATATGTATTATATAAATTTAGAGGACTAAAATCAAGAAAAAAAATAGAAAAACTAAAATTAAATAGAATCAAATTTTAAAAAATTAAAAATATATTTAGCCCGTATATTAACCATTCCTTACTTAGAAATTAACTTGTGGAATAAAGTAGAAAGATATGTCTCTATTTTAAAGAGAACTATTTGTGCTAAAGAAGAGTAATTAAACATATTTATGTGGGCTTCCAATTTTATTTTATATTTTTTTGTGGAAAGGTTTTAAAAAATGTGAATTTGAATAAGTTCACTATGGATCACAAGGGCACATAGTTTATTTGAAGATAAAGCAATTAAAGTTAAAGCATTTTAGAATTATGATGAGAATGTATAAATATTGCTATGATTATATATACATAATACTTGAAGACTTAAATATTACTAGAAAAAAAAAACTTAAAATCGGAAGATGATGGAAATATATTCTAGAAATTGACTTTATAAACAAAAGAAATGAAGACTTTTTTTTTTAAAAAAAAAAAGCAAAAGAATTGAAGACTTGAGTACCGGTAAAAAAAACAATGAAGACATTGAAAATCACGCCTTTATTCATATGATATTTTTAATTAATTCAATAGATGTCATTAAAAGTAAATTAGACTCTAATTTAATTTTATAAAATCGATTTATAAGATAAAAATTATTTTTTATTTATATGCACTATTATGATATTTTTTTAGATGATGTAAAATGTTCTAACAATGCCATATCAAGAAAGTGGGTTATGAACTTAATTTTAACCCTATAAAATTGAACTCAGCCCTACTTTTTAAGATGGTACCAGGATTTATATTAATGAATGTTGTTGGATTTATTAAACTATTTGTTATTGAACTACTTGCAGATATCTAATTCTACAAACTTCACGTTCAAAGTTCAATCCTTAACATGATGGGATGTGTTGACGATTTCACACATCGAGAAATAAGGTCACAATAATGTATATAAATGGAGATCAAATTTCATCTTACAAATTGATTTTATAAGAATAGGTTGTCTCATACTTATATACATTTTCATATCTTTATTTTTGGATGATGTGTTATCTCCAACACATATTGATCATGAAAGTTGATTAATTTAATTAATAATATTAAATTTTTTAAAAGAATTATATTATTTTTCAAAATTTCTCTTAAAATGTTAGAGACTCATCATATCACTATTTTTACTTAATTAATTAATATGTTAGTTATTTTATCCATATGTCACTAGAGAGAATGGATTTATTTAATTAATTTATGGTATTTATTATTTAATGAATACAAAAATCATAGAGTAGTTTTTAAAAAAAATAAGTGATACAATATATAATTTAAAAAGAGTCATAAAAACGGATTTTTTTTTCTCAAAAGATTCGTACATATAGGAATGATAGAAATATTTATTATATAACGTTCATTCTTCTATTTTTTATTTCAAAATATTTCATTTTTTTATCCTTGAGAATCAAATTTGAGATCAAGAAATTAACAACAACTAACACACTTACTCGATTTTTTCTTATGCAACTTGTATAAATTTATGAGAAAACCTAAACTATTTTATATATTGCACTTACTTTTACAAACACCAAGTAATCTAATTAGAACAAAATTTAAGTACAATGATTCTCTAATTAGAGTAGTTGCACCTAAGATCTGCATTAAATGTAAATGCATATTACAAATGTGAAATTTCAATTCATAC